ATATATATATATATATATATATATATATATATATATATATATATATATATATATATATATATATATATATATATATAGACACACACACATCACTAGTTCATAATCATATTAGTTCATGACATTCAAAATCATGCACAACATATGAGGTATCATGTTTAGCCTTACAAATGCGCAATCAAACAAAAAAAAGATTCTCAAATGACATAGAGAAATCAAGCAACATCCTCATGTTATGAATAACATCGCCACCACCACCGCCCCTAGCACCTCCATCGCCATCATCCACATTGATCGGAGAGTGAGCACAACCATCTTCATGAACTTGGACCCGAGAATGAGCACCACCACCACCACCATCCACATGGTTTGCCGAAGCACCAACCCCACCTCCAAACCCACCCGCACCACCATTGCCGAAGCTACGACCATCCCCAATGTCGAACCCTTCAACCCTCCTCCACACCAAACCCAACACCATAACCATTGCCGAACCCACCACCACCCATGCCTAACCATCCACCACCCATGCCGAAGCCACCTCCACCAACATTGTCGAAAGAAAGATCCCCTCCAAACCCAACACCAGCACAGGCCATAAAATTTTAAAGCTCTATCTTCCTCCGAAACATGATCTCCATTCTTTTCATCTCCCAAAATTCTCTTGTCATTGCACCCATGCCTTCCGGGTTCATCATCATGAACCGGTCCTCTCATCTTTCCTCTTTTGATCCTCTAGGTTGATCTTGCGCTCCTCGAAGGCACACCTCTCCTCCAACTTCTCCTCCGTCACCGTGCAGTGGACGGTCCTCCCCACCCTAGCATCGTAGTCGGCCTCCTCGATCTCTTCCACTTCATCACCACCGTCTTGATCCACCTCCGCGTGAGGCGTGTCGAAATCCTCAAGGGGGGCGCACTTTGGCTACAAAATTTAATGAGCAAAGCTCAAACTATTGTTCCAAATAGACGAAGGAAAGATCACCGGAGGAAACCAAGCAAAAGGAAGACATTTTTACCTCATGGTCGATTCATCGAACATGTGGTGGGCGTGACCGGTGGAGTCGCTGTGAATGGGAAGGAGGCGGAGTAGGAGCCCATCCTCTTGACATGATCGTCTTCTTCCTCGGGGCCTTCGCCTGCGCACCGGTTGGGCCGGTGCAGGCGGTCTTCCTCCTCCCACCCGCGGCCTTGACCGGAGGACCAGAGCGGGGCCGAAAGAGGGAGGTGCCGCGCCGGCTGCGGCCCCTTGGGCGAGGTGGTTCTCCAGCCACTTCCTCTTCAGGACGGCGCTGGAAGGAGTTGGGGCGGCACCGGCATGAATGGCGGCTGGAGGCAAAGGCGGATGGAGCAGCGACAATGAAGGTGGCGGCGGCACATGCTGTGGGGCACCCGATGGCTATGGGTACTGCATCTGGGCGGTTTCCGGTGCTGCGGGGCCGGACGGCGAGGTCACGGGCGAAATTTGTGGTGGCGGCGATGCCGGAGGCGGGAGCGGAAGCAGCCGGAAGTTGTTTCACGCCACGGGAAAGGGGATCCGGCAAAAACGAAGGGATTCCCGTACATATTACGGAAATCGGCCGGGGTTTGCAGGATCCCGCAAAAAGATCTGGGACAGGCCGGGAAAAGCAGCTCAGTCCAATAAACTGGAGATTATTTTGCCGGACGGCCCGATTTACGGAATCCGCTAGAGATGCCCTTATTCTTAACTTGTCATAGGCTGGGTCACATGGGCGCACGCACATCGATGCCATCTGGTCATCCAGGATGGCATGCATCGTGCATGTGCCTGCACATGTAGCTTTGAGATTCCTATGTATGAATCTATGAACCAAACGAAATTAATCACAAAGACGCAACTGCAAACAAGTTGGCTCACTGCAAACAAGCAAGTACAAATATGGTTATCATTGATTAGTGTATATTCTTTACAACTGAGTATTACACGGCACCCAATCGATTTCACACAAACTATTGACAGTTCTTTTTTTTGCGGATTAATTATTGACAGTTCTAAACCGGTTGAAGCCCTCGATCGGTTTTACATAAGAGGACTGATAGGCGCCGGTGCGCCGGCCTAAAATTCGGCCGATCACACCCTGTCCGTTCGATGGTTCCATTCTAACCGTTCAGATCTTATCTCCTCCTCCGTCCTTAACCTTCCGCACCCCGCATCACGTCCAGAAAAGGAGAGAGCATAGTCGCTGCGCCCATCACATCTCCTCCGTCGGGCTGCTCCTTCATGAGATGCGACGGCCGTGTTCGTCGGCGTCGGTGGCCCTGGCAGCACGCCCGCCATTGTGTGCCAGCTTCAGCTGCAACTGCAGCTCTAACATTGGCTGGTTCCAGTGCACGGCTGTGTGGTTGTAGCAAAATCTGTCACGTCACCATCTCTCGCTCGCCACCACCATCGACTAGCACTGCCGTGATCCAGCAAAACAATCTCAGTAACAAACCTCCAGTCATCAATTGAAGCAAAACAATTAGCGGGTTCCAGCCAACAATAACACCGGCTGTAGCAAAAATCACAGGGAGCAAATTCCACCAACAAAGTTGATGGAGCAAAAAAACTAACACGTTTCAGCAAAACATAGAGCTGGTTCCAGCAAACCCACATAGGCGGTGAGAGGTGCGTCCGGTTCGAATAAAAATCACAGGAAGCAAATTCCAAAAAAATGTCGATGTAGCAAAAAAAACAGCAAGTTCCAGCAAAGTATAAAGCTGGTTGTAGCAAAAATCACGTTAGCCGTGGGAGGCGCGTCCGGTTCCAGCACCAGTGGGCGCTGGTTCCAACTCTACAACACATCGGTTTCAACTCCGCCGGTGAGGATTGTAGCAAAAAAGTGAAGGAAATATGCCCTAGAGGCAATAATAAAGTTATTATTTATTTTCTTATATCATGATAAATGTTTATTATTCATGCTAGAATTGTATTAACCGAAAACATAAATACATGTGTGAATATATAGACAAACAGATTGTCACTAGTATGC